AATACATATTTTTTAAAGTTTACCCTTATTTATTAAAAATAATTTTTTTAATGTTTTTTAAAAAAAATTTCTCTTTTTCGGTTAAGACTTCTTATTATTAAAAGTGGAAGTATTAAAATTATAAAATTATCATTAACAAATAATCTTCGACGAAAAATTTTCACTAAAAATATTTTAAAATAATATAATCTTAATATAAAGAACAACACTACTGGGTTGGCTCGAGCCCTCGAGATAGCTGGCTCGAGCTAAAGAAATCACTCTTTGAAGGTTTTTTTTTTCGCTCGAGCTAGCAATATGATATTTTTTTTTCGGTTTCCATCCGGTATCCGGAGCTTTGCCCCGACTAATCCGGACCCGACTCGGGTCGCGCACCTGAAAATGATGGGTGAGTCTCCCAACGAAGGGAGCTGCGTACGCAAGGACTCGAACTCGAGAATTTACTTAAGCTGGAACAAGCCGCTTACCACTTAATCCAACCCCTCGTTGGTTAGCAATATGATATTTGCTGTCTCGGCTCTCGAGCTAAAGAAATTACTCTTTGTGAAAGGTTTTAAAAATCAATTATTAATAATTGAAAATTTTGTTAATATAGATCATATATATAAATTTTTATATTGATTTAGTAGATTTAATTATTTTGTTAATTATAAGAAATTGAATATTATTAAAAATATATTAATAAATAAAATTACTTTCATTGAAGGATCATAAATATCAATTAATATAAAAATTGATATATAAGATCTATATAAAAAAACTTTTAATTCAAATGTTAATTTTGAAAAAAATTAATTAAAAAATAAGTTTTTAAACACACTTTTAAAAAAATTTTAGGAGGACGAATTATTTTATATTATCCTCATATATATATATGTATAAAGAAAGTGTATAGTAGGTTTTTTTAAAACAAATTTAGAGAATTTGTTTAAAACCTACTTTTTAAATAATATTTTTAAAAATGAGGTGTTGGATTGAAACTTTTATTTATGAAAATTATACACATTAATTTTCATATTAAC